CAGCCCATCCAAGATGTAGATGAGTTTGTTTCTTCATCAGAAATTTAGCATTACATCACTTGCTCACCAATGGATCCTCTGCAGTGAATGGGTGCCGTCAGAATAAGAGTCAAAACTGCTGATAAAAATATCACAATAATCCACACGACTCCATTAATTAACATCTTGTGAATTGAAAAGCTACGCGGCAGTAATACGAGTCCATAATCCATAACGCTTGCTCCAACATATTTGGTTAGGACCATTTTTGACTCATTTTGCTTGTTTTGCAGCAATATTATGGAAAGAGGACTCGTATTATATCCAGAAGCAATGGTTAAAAATAATGGGTGATGGATTTGTTTCTTACAAACGTGCAGCTTTTCACTTCACAAGATGTTAATTGATGGACTGGAGTCGTGTTGGGATTATTGTGATGTTTTATCAGCTGTTTGGACTCTCATTCTGACGGCACCCATTCACTGCAGAGGATCCATTGGTGAGCAAGTGATGGAATGATGCATTTCTCCAAATCAGTTCCAATGAAGAAACAAATTAATCAACATCTTGGATGTCAGTGACATTATTACAAAAAATTAAAATAAATTCTTGTCATCAAAAAATTACAGGGAAAAATGACAATAACCAGTAACATTGCAGTATTTAATCACTTTTTGGATGAAATTGGATCTACATTATTTCTTAATTAACATTGTTTCACTCTGAAATATGTGACATTATGGAGGTTAAATATTTCTAAAACTGCTATCCTGTTCTTGCATTTCTCTGCTGTAAAGTGTGTTAATGGGACATTGCCGAAATATTTCTTCTGGAAATAGAAGTTGCATCATATTTTTCCTGTTTACTGTTTTGTCATGTAGCTGATAAGTAACAAAGTCATGTGCACAAAAAAAAATGTAATTTTGCATAGAGTTATTTACATTTTAAGCATTAAGTAAATGTATGTCAGTTGGAATGAATGTTAATTGAGGAACTGTTTTAGAGAGTGGGATACAAACAACGGAAGTCCAGACCACTAGGAGGACATTTGGGATTCTTATAAATGCTTTTACATGTAAATATGGGTTGGTCCTTTTTTTCCCCCAGTAGGGTGTCAATGTGTCACTTTGTGTGGTGAGACCTGACTGTCAACTTTTATATGTACAGTTATAGCTTGGAGATGAGGTACAATTGCAATAAGGACTTGTTGTTTTTGTATCTGCCAGGAATGAGATATTGCAACTCTAGCTGACCAAATACTTTTATTTAAAAAAATAAATTGTGTAAAAAAAAAAAAAAAGTTGACAGTAAATAAATGATGATGCCAGACATGAATTCTATGCCTATACTGACAGTAGTACTACAATAACCTTATAATTGTATTTTACTACAATAGCCTAATTTTATTTTATTTTAAAATTATTTAATTAGCATTTTTTTATTTAGGTTGTTTTATTTGTAATTTTATTTTATTTTAAATAAATTATTAATTGGTGTATATTTTTTATTGAATATTTTTTTTATTTTATTTTATTGCAAAGCACAGCTCAGCTAAATGGCTTAAATATCTGACAACGGCAATCCACCCCCCACCCCACATCTTTGCTGTATAAAGGTATTAATTTATTTTTATATTTATATTAAAAAAAATCTACCACAAACGGTTTTAATGGTAGTGTATCACGGTTTCCACAAAAATATTAAGCAGAAAAATAATTGTTTTCAACATTGCTAATAATAAAATATGTTTTTGAACACAAAATTATGTTATTAGAATGTTTTACTGGTATTATGTTACTGTTTTGATTACATAAATGTTGCCTTAGTGAGCATAAGCCTTCTTTCAAAAACATGTTGAAACATATTTGTAACGTTCGGTGAGAGCAGGCAAAGGCGAGGATGTAAGTGCAAGGTTTAATTAAGAAATAGATAAACATCCACAAAAACACAGGAACAAGGCAAACAAGAAAATCCAAAACACAAGCAAGAACATCGACGGACACCACACAACTGAAACACTAGGACTAAATATACACAGGGGCTAACAAGCTTAACAAGGTAACGAGAGGGCGTGGTTAGTTGTCTAGGGAACACACGAGGATAACCATGGGAACTAACAAGGGAGCTACAAAGGCAGGGCTAACACAAGGGGAACTAACAGAGTAGACAACACAGTTACGTCACATGCAGCTGCGCGCGCATTGTGGTGGCAGAAAAACACTGGGAACAATTGGAGAGAAGCGGATAAAATCCACGGAATAAGAGAAAAAAATTTATCGTTGTGCCTTTGGATGTCAGAATCGAAATGCAAATAATTTTATATAATACTGTCGTCAAAGATGCCATTTGAAGCTAAATGCAGACTATGGATGAAACCTGCTATGATTACCCTACTTTAAAGCATAAATTATATTTAAACAATAGGTCTATATAATATTCACATATGGGACATATTGTATTAGCCCTACAGTTAAAGCATGAAATACTATTTAAACATATAACATTTACCTATTTTAACTCACAATTCTGACTTTTTTTTTCTTGCAAATGCAAGTTTATCTCCTAGTTCGAACTTTATAACTTAATTCAACTCAACAATTGCGAGTTTGTCAATTCTGAGGAAAAAAAGCCAGAAGTGTGGTATTATAAACTTATGATTCTGAGCCGAAGGTAAAAGAGAGAATGACGAGTTGATTTTTCTTACCAGAATTATCAGATATAATCTCAGAATTTAAAGAAAAAACTCAAAATTTCCTTTTTTATTCCATGGCTTGCATAGACTGCTATGTTAAAACGGTAATTTTCTGCCACCAGATAGGCTCCGCCCACAAAAAATGTCATCACTGTTTGCAAACACTGAAATTGGTCTATTGAATGTGTTTGACTGCTGTCATGATCTTTTCCTCTCTGTGCAGCTCATAACTGCTGTGAGTCAGTGCTGGTCACCCTGTGCTCAGCGGGACCGGACGGTAACATTCATACTCTGGCTACCGAGCACCTACACTTCGTGCAGGACCTGGCCTTCGACATGGCACAGTTCCTGGTGAGCGCGGTGGGGCAGACGAATCTGCTGGAGGAGGCTCTGCTACTGGACGAACATCAGATCCCTCTGCAGGAGTGCGAAAAGCTGGACCAGAGTCTGTCCCTGGCCCTCAAACATATCATGCTACCCCCTGGCTGGAGCCTGCTGGGGAATAGCACACGTGAGTGCAGCTCGGTGGAGGCTAGTGCTTAGATCTGGGCTGGAAATCAAAAGGTTGTGGGTTCGAATAGGGTTGTAGGTTCAAGTAATTGTCTGTTGCATCATTCTGTAGTTGTTCTTTAATGTGGTCCATTTGATTTCAGAAGTTAAGTACATCTACTTTATTAAGTTGTATGTTTGACACAATGGTGAGATGTTTCATATCTCTTTGCATTGTTCAATAGGACTTTATATATTATCAAACTGGAGGATTTTCTGAACTGTAGTTATGCTGTGGTTGATCCTTTAGGGGGCGTTATAGCATTAGTGTAGGTCATCAGGATCATGCTTGATTTATTTATTTCTAACATTCTTTACAAAATTAATGAAAAAAAACAAAACAATTTACAGCCACATTTAGTTTAATATCTTATGTATTGTAATGTAAAAATATGAACTGCTAGATTTTTGGAGAGATAATAATATTTTTGTGTAACTATCTCCAGTTATTCTTGGCCTGTGACTGTTTTTTCAAATTTTTTTTTTCATTCTTTTTTTGGGTATCGTTAGTTTAGAAGAGAATGTACTGGATGATATTCCAGAGCTCGTATCTGCAGCCAAATAAACGTCCCTAAATGACATTGCAGATCAGCTTCCAAGTAATCGGAGCAGTTCCTTAGGGTTCATAATGGTCACGTGATGGTTGACAGGTCAGTTACAGTGTGACGTTAATTACAGGTGGCAAATCTTTTTAAATATTTAATTAATTGACATTATTTTTGGGCTGGTTCTTCTTTGCTGAATCATAATACTTTGCCCTTGTCTAACAAACTTGTGTGGTGAATTATTATGTTTGAAAATTGTGCTTGTGCTCTTTTTCTTTAAAACGAATATAACCTGGTGTGATATTTTGTTATGCAATGCAATGACCAAATACAAGGATATATTGAAAAAAAAAAATCATACACATATTCTGTACCGGTCAAAAGTGTTGGGTCAGTAAGTTTATTTTATTTAATTTTTTTATTTATTATTTTGTTCAGCAATGATGCAATAAATTGATCAATAATGACAGTAAAGTCATTTATAATGTTACAAAAGATTTCTATTTCAAATAAACAATGTTGTTTTGAACGTTCTGTTGATCATCCTGAAATCTTGAAAAAAAGATGAACAGTTTCCACAAAAATATTAAGCAGCACAGCTATCTAAAATATATTAAAATACAAAAGTACTTGTAAATTTCTGGATTATCAGTCAGTCCGGACAGGCAATGATTTAGGCCTAGTTTACATCGCTCCATTTGCCTCTTTGAACACTCTCATTTCTCTCTTTCAGGACTGGAACCTCAAGAGACCCTCCTTCACTTTGCAGCCCGCCGCGGGCTCCTCAAAGTGGCCAGGTTTCTCCTCAAGCAGCCAGGGGCCCAAGAGGCCCTCAGCCTGTGTAATAAACAGGGCTCCACACCGGTGGTCATCGCCCAGAGTCGAGGACATACGGCTCTGCTGGAGCTCTTCAGCCGGTGAGTGATGCGCTTTCATACACACTCTTATTCACATCAACACAGGTCTCGTGAAGCATCTTGGAGATGCTGTCACAGCTCTCCTGGATTTAGTCTGTATCAGTTTGTTCTGTTTCTTCATGTCATTCCAGACAGACTGGATGATGATCAGATCAGATCTCTGTGTGGAGCACTGGCTGTTGTGCAAACAAAAATCTCACTGGATTATTACAATTAATGGCAAAATAAATGTTTGGAAATGTAAACTGATATTTCCTACTGACACACTACAGCAAAAGATAGAAATAACTGACTTTAAACCATTTTTAGCTGGTCAAAATACTAGTGTTCTAATCTTTTTGGCCACCATTGTATTGTTCGAGACATCTAAAATCATGTTAAAATCTAATTGAGAAACATTATTAGTGCTTTTTGTCCACACAAGAAACATCTGAGAATCAGGAAGTCTCTATTAGCTCTCTATTTAATCTCATTGCTCAGACATTAAAGCGATCTAATTGTGTATTATTCTTTCATCTGCTGCATGCTGCTTCAGACAGCAGTGACAGTTGCTTTCCTGTGACAAAAATCACTCCACCCAGTATTAGTCAATGCTCTAGACCCAGATTTGAACCATTACCTCTTATTATTAACACTCCCGAGTTGGCAAAAGAGTAGAAAATATACATTGAGCTGCATGATAATTCCATTTGTACATTTGGATCATTCACCACTGCCTCTTGAACATATAAAACAAAGCAGTACATCCATAAGAACTTTAATTACAGTACATTGAGTGTCTTGATGACAGCAGGGTGTTATTTTGTTTAAAGCTGGAATGGAACAGTTTGAACATATCCTGTTCATCGGATGGCTTGTTTTGATTTAGGGAGGGTTTGGATACAGACATTGGCGTTGAGACGCTCAGACAGCTCTCCTCCTCGGGCAGTCGTGTGGTGCAGCACCACCCCTCTCTGAACACCTACACCCTCTCTGTGGGCACCGAGCCGGGCTGCGCACCACCCAACCCACAGGCCGACATCCTGGAACTGTACAGACTGATCCTTAGCCATTGTCAAGAGAAGGTGAGTCAGGTGTGTTTGTCTAAATGTGGAGAAAACGTCCCTTTCTACCCATTTAACTCTGTCTCTTGCTCATTGTCAGTTTGTTTTTGCTTTTTATTTTTTATTTTTTTTGAGTGTGATGAACTTCTCCAGAGTTGAGTTATTCAGCATGACGAGGACAGCATGTGTAAACATGAAGAATAATGATAATAATAATAATGTATTGACAAAGACACACTGTAAGGGAAACATTAGTTTTAACCATGTGGTTTAATCTGTAATTTAATTTCCTTTAAAGTGATCAAATAGACAAAAAAATAAAAATAAAAAGATATATATTTGTCTCAGTTCAATAAATGCAACATTTAGGTAGAATTAAGTGGTTTTAATGGTTTTATTATTATATATGTAACCTATGAAAACATAATGGTGATGACGTGGCAATTTTCAGCGTGCAAATAGACTGCAATTCTGATGAGAAATAATGTTTTTATTTTCCAGTTTATTCAGCAGTCAGTTTTTAGTGTCACATGATCCTTTAGAAATCATTCTAATATCCTATCCTATAATTTGGTTACACTTTACAATAAGGTTCCATTAGTTAATGTTAGTTAATGTATTGACTAACATGAACAAACAATGAACAATACATTTATTACAGTATTTATTAATCTTTGTTAATGTTAGTTAATGGAAATACAGTCGTTCATTGCTAGTTCATGTTAATTCACAGTGCATTAACTAATGTTAACAAGCACAACTTTTGATTTTAATAATGCATTAGTAAATGTTGAAATTAACATTAGCTAAGATTAATAAATTATGTAGAAGTGTTGTTCATGCTTAGTTCATTTTAATTAAAGTAGTTAACTAATGTTAACTAATGAACCTTATTGTAAAGTGTTACCAACATTTCTTATTCTTAAGAAACAATTCTTATCATCATGCTTTAAAATATTAAATAGCATAATATTTTCTGCTTCATATTTTAGGGGAAACTGTAATGCATTTTTGTCATTATTCTTTGATGAATACAGAAATTCATACTCTTGTAACGTTATAAGCGACTTTACTGTAACTTTTGATCAATTTGATGTGGCCTTGCTGAATAAAAGTGTTAATTTCTTTAAAATATTGTACTTCTTACTTTTGAATGGTAGTGTATGTAATATATTATATGAATATTTTATATATTTATCATACTAAAATATTTATGAATATTTAACATACTAAAATATTTAGTTTTATTTATACACACACACACACGTACATATACTACATGTGTATATATATATATATATATATATATATATATATATATATATACATTTCTCTGAACAGCTTGAGACATTGTACTTCTCATCTCATGTTACTGCCTCTTTAGGATGAATCACTGTGTTGTCTTCTCTTCGCAAGTCGCTTTGGATTTTAGAAATGTCTGCTAAATGAATACATACTATTATGCAGTCAACAGAAGGGAACTTGTTTGCCAAGAAATATCCTTCAGATTTCATCCTCCACCATAACAGCTGTAGATCTGCTATTCATTGCATTGACATAACTGTAGAGTTAGAGAATTGCTTGAAGGAGAGAAAACTCTAAGCTGTTGTTCTGTGTTCGTGTTCAGGGAGGAGTTGTGTTTCAGCAGAGCTCAGACTCTCTGCACATTGCCCAAGAATGTGATGACGGCCTGGAGACCAGAGATTGCTGTTGTGAAGAGGCACCGCTCGACTCCCTTGAGACGAGAGAACGAGGGTTCACTCCTTTTAGCACAGAGGAAAACAAAGGAGAACGTAATGACCGCCTGGATCCCTCGCAAAGCAGGGAGGGTGACGGAGGTCCCTCGCTCAGCTGTGAAACTGTCCCGGTTCTCCTATTCAATGGCAATAGCGCAGATCAGCGGGCGTGTGCTTGTGAAAACAGTGAGACTGATTGCAGAGAGCAAGAAAAGCGTTCAAGTACTGGTCTAGTTAGTACCGGTGACGTTGGAGATAGTAGTGATGGTTTGCAGATCGGTTCTGAGAGCATAGTCAACAGAACCTCTTCCTGCGGACAACAGAAAGAGGAAGCTGATAAAGCGGACGACTTAATCTGTGAAATGCCGGTTTGTGCTGAGGGACCTGAGGAGGAAAATCAGGAAAAAGGACACAACTTTGTGGAGGAGAAAGAGCTATCTGAACGTAGCCCCATCGTTGAGGCAGGAGATATGGGAATCACTCAGTCTTTGGACATGCCGGAAAGCTCGGATGTTGAATCTTGTTCACAGGGTGCAGAGACTGATGATGAAGAAGAGGATGAGTGCGGAGATCTCATAGATCCAGAGGAGGTTCGAGAAGAAAGCAAGAAACCACTGGATCTAAATCCTGATGGAGATACACCTCTGGATTGCTCGCGACAAAATTTGGTGGAAAATGAAATGCATGCTTGTGAAGACGTTTGGGATAAAACCGATGACACTGGAACCCAGCTAGAGGGAGGCATTTGTGAGAAGATCACGTGTAATGTGGAAGGTAGTGGAGATCTTGTTTCTTCAGGAACCTGTGATCAAGAAGACACTGATGAGGAGTTTCAGGAGAGTCTAGAAATGCCATACTTTGAAACAGATGGCGAGCAACCGAAGGAAGAACTTAGTGATACAACCTCAAGGACTACGGTTGCTGAAGATAAGAGCGTTTTACACCGGCATGAAGAAAATCAAGAGCTGTTGCCTGTAGAAAAGACAATTCTTTCAAGTGAAGAAAGTGAGTTTGACGGACAGAAACTAAATTCTTCCAGCGTCTTACAAAATGAGCTTGGTCCAGAACCTGGATCTTCCACAGCAACTAGTGAGGACACCTTAGAAGATCTAGAGGTTCTTTTAGGTTCTAGCTTTGAGATGATGGAGAACGTTCAAGGGAACCAGAAGAACGAACCCGTTTGGGAAGCTCAGGCATCAGAGGAGGAAGTTCTGCGGATTCCCGCAGATATGGAGAAAGTGAATCTCCCAGATGACTCCTCTCAGGATCCCAGACAGGAAATGACCTCAAACAGTGAGGTCATGCAGGGCACAGCAGCAGTAGTCCTTTCAGAAGAGGATGCGGGTGTAGTTTTTGTAAACACAGATGAATCGGGAGATCAACATGTCTTGGTGGATCCCTCAGACATATTCGCTTCATCAAATGAGTTTGGGGTCTCTGAGGAAAGCCTGGCAGTCAATGCAGAAGATCTGTTGGGTGTTTCGGTCCACACCGACCATCTAGATGGTGCCTTACATGTCCCAAATGCTCTTGCTGAGGATGACATTATAGTTTCTTCTGTATGTCCTGAGCAAGCCCTAGCAAGCTTAGATCCTGTGTCTCAAGAGACAGAAGCTGCAGTGCAGGAAGCTGTACAACCAATGGGTGAAGAAGACCTACTGAAGGGTGAGTTGAACAATAAAAAGTGTAAAATATTTATGATGAACTGTTTTCTGAAAAAAACAATCTGCACCTGATTATAAGAGGAAAAACATGTACAAATCACATTTCATAATTTTATTCAACAATAATATGAAATACCGGTAAATAAAACATTGTAAATAGGGGTGCTCCGATTAGGATTTTTAAGGCCGATCGCCGATCACAGAAAGCAGTATCTGCCGATACCGATCTTTTTAAAGCCTTCTTTTTTTTCATTTATAACTATTTATAGTGATACTCCAAACAGGATTTTTAGACATTTATTCAGGGCCTAAATTTCATTTTTGAAAATGGGGGGAATTCCCCCTCTTAGGTGACTCTTGTGAGAGGAGAAGCAGCACGGACTGTGCTTTCACACAGGAGTCCGCTACTGATCCGTCGCTGTTTACCACAAACAGAACATTTATCCATTATTTTGATTTCAAATCCAAACATTGTCACTGAAAATGCTTTTTCAGCATTGCAATTCTTTTTTTACACAGGACAGTAATACAATCTTTCACAGACACGTTTAAACAAAAATAAATATAAGCAACACATTATTCAATGCTTTTTACTCTTGCATTTACTTCTAGGTTGATATATTAAGTTGCTCAAGCAAGTGGCAAAACATTTAAACTAATTTTCTTACATTATCAAAAACTTACCATTGACAGAAATAGTCAGCTCTACTGCCTTTCCTTTTGCATTTAAATCTTTGTTTCAAGCAATCCTGCGGTTCATAAAGAACTTTGTTTTTCTACCTCCACAAGGGACATCTATTATTGCCTTGTTTATCTAAAAGTGCTCTTTCCATTTAAACCTAGCCAAAAAGCCATGTGCTGACTGTGAAACACAGTAGACTTTAATAATATGCATTTATGGTGTAATTACTACATTTTTGTGTCAATCCATGTTCATATTTACTGCAAACAATGCGCTGTTACTTTAATTCAGCGCATGCAGCGGAAACGATCTCTGCACTGCTGCAGACGCACCGCTCCTGCAACACACTGCCGGACCGAAAACCGTGTGCAGTGTGAACGCTTTAATCCGTTAACATGAGCGTGGAAAAAATACGCACCGCATACGCACTGCAAATGGAGTAATGAGAACCTGGCGTTATGTATGTGCGCTGTGAGTGTGCATGAGCGCACGGTCTCCAGGAGAGCACGCGAGCGCTGAATGGTTAAACACTGGCAAGAATTAAAAAGAAACGCAATTTATAAACTTTAGTGATGATGCAACACTTCCTCGATTGTGCAAGTGACAATTCCTGTGTCAACTGTGCAGCGTGCAGCTCGCTTATAGACAGAAGCGATGTGTGGTGATTTGAAGCCATCTGCGTATTTTGAGAGAGAAAGAGAGAGCACGCGCGGTGATTCACTTACGCTGTTTGTGAAATTATGTGTCACACAAGGTTTTCAAATTACTTTATAAGTTATTTAATGAAGAAATATGAAGGTGAGTACCTCACCTTCAGCGTTATAATTATTTCACCCGTGCCGGACAGAGACCGAGACGGTGCTGCTGCATGTCGAGCCAAACCTTCTCATGGCAGGCGCGTCATCAGCTTGAGATCGTTTTTTTGAGATCGGCCTTATTAGAGACCACCGATCAATCATCCCAACGTGATTATCGGCCGATAGTGATCAGTAGCCGATCAATCGGAGCACCCCTAAGCATTAAATATCGCATGCGATTTATCGTGCAGCCCTAGTGCACAGTGTCATTCACACAAACACTAAACACCATCATGGTAACACACATTATACTGAAATAATGAAACAACATTAGATGTAAGATAAAACCCTAATGTACACAACTGATCAGAAAAAACGAAGAAGAAACAGTTATTTCAACAAAAAAAACATCAAATATGAAGTGTCATGCAGGGAATTCTGGGAGTGTCAAT